ACATATTAAGATATTTTAACAGTGCAGCAGAATTTCTTCCCTTCTACTCCACACATTAAAGTAAACTGTACAAAAAGCTTTCAAACCTTCCACATCCTAATGTCTATCCAGAGTTTAAGAAATTCTTCCAGCTTGAGCTTTCCTGATCGATCAACCTGATCTTGAAGTTAAAGATTAATATTAATGTATTTTATACCATTGACAGTCCCTATATCTAATATGATTATTTAGGTATGACAGAGTAATATCAATAATTATGATTACTGAAGTAAAATATATTTTCCTTTTTGCTATGTATGTTAAACCTGGGGAATTAATGAGTAATAAAACAACCCTTAACATAAAAAAAAAGACTTTAGTCTAGCTCACCTAAACATTTTAAAGGTTTCAAAACAGCAAATAATTCCAAATAGTGCTTAAAGATGCAAATAAAGATATCATCTGTTGTTGACAAACATTGATTTTAATGTCACTTCTTTGATCACTAAGCCTCGATTTATGAATTCTGTTTAATACATGTGTTTGTTTTGTCAGATTTCCTTCCACTTTTTTCCTAAGGTTAACAATTCAAATCTAGAAACTGTTACAGTTTGTAAACATCACATTTTGTGTCTATGGTGAAACCTTCATACACAATGCAATGGATAAGATAATAACTCAAAGCTAGCATTTGTTACAATTGGTAAAATGTTATATATTGTATTTATGGTAAACCTTAACACGTAGAGGGTCTGCAGTGGATAAGATAACTCAAAGCTAGCAACTGTTATAGTTGGTAAAATGTCACATATTGAGGCTATGGTGAAACCCTCATAATAGAGGATCTGTCATTACCTGCTACAAAATAATAAATGTAAGAACTGTGATAAAAGTTGTACAAGAAGTTGATTTAACTCTTGAAATTTATAGTGAATAACTTGGCAAATATAAATTAAATATTACATGTACATCATTGAATGTATATGAATGCCTTTTGATAACGTTATAAATAAACTGGCAATGAAAGGATAACATAAACGATCATTTCTAAAATACTAGAATAAATACCTCTCTTCTGTGTTTTTTTAGTTATGTTTCCTTTATCGATAATCGTACAACATATTGATAAATGACTGACTGAAATATTTTTTAAGAGCTATTAACTACAAAGACTTGTGGTCACTTGATCACAATAAATACTAGGTTATTTAAGGATACATCCATCATGGCAATAATGCTTCGGCAAATATCCAATGAAATTTCCTCAATGTCAAGTTCTGGAAAATAATAAAATGTTGTCAAATTATAAACTAAATATATACTACATTTTTTTCAAGATTATAAAATTATACTTTCATGAACTCTGTCTTAAAACAACAAATCACTGCCATTCTTGCAAATTAATATGACATATTTTATGTATCAAAGCGTATTTGTAAAGATGCTTATTCACATTGTATAAGTGGATCTTTAATTCAAAGATATGTTATAGAAGAGGACAGAATAAACACTCTACGACAGTACCAGAAACTAATGTTGTAAAACATTCTCGTGTGTGTATGTAAAGAGCATGTAAAGTAATCAATTAATCAAAAATATGAATTGATTAATATCTCAAAAATAACTTATTATTACTGTCTTTAATTGTTCCATCTATTCAAGTAATCAAAATACTGCCATATGTTTGTTTTTGTTGTTGAGCACAAAGCTACCAATGGGCTACTTGTACTCTGCCCATCATTGATATTGAAACCTGATTTTTAGTGTTATATGTTGATTAATTGAATGTAATTGATTAATATGCCTGATGATGATGAATTAAATAGTAAATAACACTTATTGCCTAGCTTTATTCAAAATGCATGAAATAGCATTATTGTAGCATAACTGATCTTTAGTCTTTTTACATACACATTTTAAGGTTATTAATGTATACAAATGTTGCATGTTACATTTGATTGGTTCCTCTTTCAGTTCAATGTGTTAGAGCTGATAGCTAAAATATTCACAGGTAAAAATCTTGTTATTTTGTCAGTAATCTTAATAAAGTAAGGAATAAGGCACTTCTGAGAATTAGATACAAAATTTAAGACATAAAAATAGAAGAATTTACTTTATTCATTACTTTTAGACCCTACAATATATTATTATTATAATCTAAAATATTTTACTTTATCTTGCATAAGCTGAAAGAAATGGGAATATTTCTGAAAATACCTTGTTTTAAAGCATAGGTAAGGACTTTTTGAAGTTCGTAGCAGTCAACTTCTAGATCTGAACCTGAGATACTAGCAAAGAAATCTTTTACTTGTTGTTCCTTGCTTTCTTCCACTTCATTCTGTTCAACTTGCACCTGTAACAGTTTTCCATAGTTAAATAAAGCTACAAAAAATCAGTAATATAAATGGAACACATTTCTCAATATATATATATCAATTTGACTTATTCACAACTAAGTTCCTTAATTAATCATCATAGAAGCTTTCTAATTAAAATATCATGCTTTTACCCTATTGCTTTTTCTGGTAGTAGAACCATAGCTTAAAATGGTTTAGAATTTGTTATCGTATACTAAAGTATGAATAAGAAATTCAAAATACAAAGTAACTCATGCATAAGTTCTTTATGATAATAACTAAAATATATGAATAAATATAAGATAACAATTGATCTCAAGAATCATTATTAAAACTGTACAAGCAAAGGAATTTCAATCAGAGTGTAAAAGAGAAATGCTTCTTTTAGAGCTTTATACATCAATGTGGTCACTTGGAATAATTTAAGAATTTGTAAAATCTCACCTGATCAATGAGAGTATTTCAAGCAGTAAGAAGTTGATGGTAAATGTACACAGATAGTGCTTCAATTGTAACTACTTAACAAGGAAAACTCCATATGTATAATTAATGAAGAGTATATATACTGTGAACTTTATTACCTCATTGATCAGCTACTAGTTAGATCAACATTAAGATTTAACAATAAATTTGTATAAAACAAACATTAAGAGTAAACTATAAAACAACTTTACCAATGGTTAATGAAGATGATATTAGGCAAGGGAAGAATAAGTATGACTAAAGCTGTAAACATCTCTCCATTGAGGCAAAGTCAGTAAGTAAAGAAACGTTCCTTCATGTGCATGATTTTGTTAACATGCTTTAAATTGATGTTTAACAATGAGAGTGACATGCTTCTCCATTCCCACGTATTTCAAACATAACTATGTACAGTCAAGTATTTCAGAATACAACAATCTATATAATGTAAATATTAGACAGGAGATGAAATCTTGTACAAATTCTAATGAAACTCGCTAAGCTTCAAAATCATCCTGTATATGGATTTCTAGAAATTTTAGCTGTTAACTAACAAAAATTATGTTTAAATAAAAAGTCAAAAATCTAACAAATGATGAAGTTGTATATATTTACAAAGACAGAATTAAGCACACAATTAAAATAAACTGAGCCCTATAACTGACAGAAACTAAATCCTTGAAAGTTTCAGTTCACAAACATATTTTAATCAAGAATTTTTAGCATTATGGTTAACGTGAATTTTGAAAAATTTCAGTAACAGACCATTACTTTAACACATGTGAAGTGCGTATAGGCAGGGTAATGGAAGCATAATTCTCAAGGCATCAAAACATATATGCGAGACTTTTATAACATTAAATAACGTTTATTATATGTTATGACCTAGAAGGTGTGTTTTAATTAACAATGGAGATAATAAAAACAATGAGTACCATAAACTGGACAAGTGACATTTGCCAGGGCTCAATCCTAATTAACAAGGTACATACTTCATTTGAAAGGTGATTTTAATGGGCATTGTATTTTATAAAATAATTAGTAATCAGATCACAAAATAATGCTATTGGGAAGAACATTTACAAAGAACAATAAAATGGAAGACAATCAAAATGGGGTTAGTTCATGCATTCATACAAATTCATTTTCTACATAAAGTTGACAAAAAAACCAGTGATAGTGGCATGCAAAATCAAAACAAAATTCTCAATTATCTGAGAACAATATAACAAATTTTTATAAAATAAGAGTCTAAATAAAACAAGTGGGTTTATGAAAGTTAAAGTGAGAATTAGAAAAGTGAGAGGATGGTGCCAAGCTTACAGGTGCCGACTTGACTGAGGGTTCAGTTGGATTCTGTTGCTGGAGAAAATATAGTACAAAAAACATTTAGAAACAAGTACCAGGGAAAAGTATGTGATTCAAACTTTTTCTTGTTAAATTTTTATCTATTCCACAATGACAATTTTTAAAAAAAAACATTAAAAGTAATTAAACTGTGTACTACAATAAAATAATAAATGAATTTCAAGTATAACAAGATGGGAAAAATACCAAAATTATACAAGACTTAAATTACATTTGTTCTCCTCAATAATTCTGGTGATACATTTTGAAAAATAAAATATCATAAAATCTCTTCTCAGTCATTTTTCATACATATGTATAACATTTCAATTTACTTAATATTATTGATATTTCTCTCTTTCTTCATTAGCTAATTATTTTTTGGTCAAATTTCAATGAAGGATTTAACATATTTATAGACATACTTTTGCAGATACATAGCTACAAGGATATTAATTCTGGTGATCATAATCCATTTATGCCATCCATAATGATTGTAATTAAAAACTTTAAAATATTAATCGACTTAAAATTAGACTATGTAACTTATAAGCCTAAAAATGGAAATCCCCAAATTTGTAAAAGTTGCTCAAAACTTTCATCTCTTCCTCTGTAGAGGTTGAGTCCTATTTTTTTTATGGACCTTCACCATGTCCAGTCATGCATCTTAACAATAACTCTGTAGCATGGTTTCTATTGCAAAATGCTCTCCTCTAAGTTTTGATGTCCAATGCACACCAACCATCTCTGAAGACTTTCCATATTAAATCTAGTGAGAAAGTGTCATCTCAGCATCAATTTCAACAAATCTATATGCTCTGTGTCCACCAGATTGATCAGCATGTCTTTGTATAGAATAAAATGAATACAAATTTTTTTCAAGTATGTGATGGTTTGATGGAAGGTATGATTGGAAACCATACCTTGACCTCGTTTACAGGCAGAGACCCATTTTGATTATGTGTATTTTTGCAGGTATATGGCTTTTGCCACCGACCTTTCTGTTTGCAGATATTGAACTATTACAAGATGTCACACTACACTTACCATAATTGGGGTAGTACTTGTTGCAGGACTCTTTTTTTTTTTTTGAGTGGTCATGGTGCCCCAATTTGATACATATTCGATTGTTTACCAAAGCATTAACTACATAGGATATCCTAGTCTTGGAAATTCTAAATCCTTGATCTGAACATATTTTTATGGTTTGAGTGATGAATATTTTACATTGGAAAAAAGACTTTTAAGTACCATTCCCAACAGGAATATATTTTTGGTGCCATCACACTACTTACAAAACATTAAACAGTATCAAATGTAGTTTTGATACATCATTTCATCATGACTTTATATCAGCTGTTGTTGTCACATGGCTTGCTAGTTTGCATATTCAAACTTGTTTCAATATACCTTATTCAGCCCTCTGTATTCTTTATTTCTAAATTAAGAACTTGCATCTTGATAATAGCAACGTGAAGAGAGAGAGCATTACTTAACATCTAAATTGTTGATCTGTATTTTCAAAAACTGGAGAAATTAGAATATCATTCATATTCTTTCAGTATGATTTGAGATAGTGTACAAGACATGTTAACAAATCTTATACATTCTTCTTCCTCATATTTACATTTATTGATGAGATTTAAGATTCTGTGCTGAGGCCTTTAGGGTTAATATTTCCTGCCTACTAAAGGACCAACACAAAGTCCTAAATGTTATCAACATACCTAATGAAGAATGACAACAGATCTGAAAAACTACTGCCATCATGATATTCAACCCAGTAACGATTATGAAATTAACTATGAGCCACTCCACAATCAATTAAACATAGCCAACTAGAACCAAACATTCAAGCTTTACCCTCATTCTTAACTTGATGACTTCAATAACAAATTATCCTATTTCCAATCAATTTACTTTTTTTAAACAAACACTGATTAACAAATTCATCTTAGAATATATAAAGTTCAATGTCTGTGCAATAAAAATGGCAATGTAATTTATTTTAGGCTACTCCTTATATCAATGAAGTATAAAAATTACACTTTAAATAGCATCAGTTTATTACTATTTTTTTCTTTTTAAACATTATACTGTATTAAATAAGATGTACAAAATAACCACTACAATGGTAATAAAAACCTTACTTCTTCTGCAGGATTTTTAAGCCCAACTTCTTCATCGTATTCACTGCAATAACATTCAATAAAAAAAATTAACAGGTGTTAACATGAAAACAGTTAAACAATGTCATTAGTTTTATGCTTCTCTAACTAGTAAAGAAATTCATCAAAATTTATCATTACCTAGAAGATTACCTAAGTAAACAAAAGTACCTTTTTTTAAATTTATGATGATAAAAAGTATTCTACTTTCTTTGAAATATAAGACCACACTTCCACTTTATCCAATTCTTTAAGAATGAAATATATTTTTACCTCATTTTGTTTTCTTTTTCAGTAAATACTCTCAAGACAAACTCTCCTCTTTGTTTAGGGTCAAAGGTTGATGGAATAATGCAATAGGAGCCTGGAGGAAGCTTGAATCTACAGCTTACTTCACGCAAATTGATAAAGGAAGACTTGGCTTTTGAAGCATTATATCTGAAGAACTCTTTTGGCAGTGGTTTAGGTAAGTTGTCTGGGTCATTTAACTAATGAAACAAATGTAAGTATACTGAAGTTAGAAATAAATAGTGTTTAAATTATTCAGTAAGTGAATCAAAACAATGCACGTCACTGAGTATTAAAAACATCCTCTACTGAATCATGAAGCATTAAATAATGATTAATTAATTAAATAACTTTTTACATATGAGTTAGAAAGATGCCTGATTTACATCACTTAGTAAAACAAAATAACTAAAAATATTAAAGATTAGAAAAGTAACCTGTCTGTTTGTTGTTGTTGTTTTTTTTTAGATATATGTAATTCTATGATATTAAATTTCAAACTTCAAAATTAAATGTTTCAATAGTTTACGAGCTCTCATATAAAAATTGTTATTGGGTTCTCAAGATAATTCTGTCAAAACATGATGTCAAATATAAACAACTGATTTTTGCAAACTCTGTTGTAAGTTTGAAACTACATGTGAAAATATCAAAAACGGATAGTTGACATGTAGATATAGATCAAACTGATATAATGTTGTGCAGGTACAAATGTATGGAGTTTAAAGTATTTTGGTTTGTCTTAGATGAAACCTTACTTAATCATATGATTACTAATGTAGAGATAAATAAAATGATGTTTCATTGTTAAAGCACAATAAGCTATCTACATAGTATCCTCCTCAAATATCAAACCCTGAATATTAGTATTAAATGCCTTCAAGTTTACGACTGAGCTACTTGGAGCATGAAATGATGATGAAAAATAAATGTTTAAAAATGCTTTAATAAAAATATTCCGTGTTATATAAAAGCATAGAGAAATGAGGTTTCTTTTCCTGTTCTGGGTTAGTTTTAAGCATGATTACATGTTTCATTACTCAAACTACCAGTAACCATACATTAAGATCCACATTGTCACTTGACAGTTTTTTGGGTTAAGTATTTCTTATGCTTTACTGCTTTAAAAGAAACTAATTCTCTCAACTTCAAGTAATTATAAGAAGGATAAATTGGTATAAAAACTAAAAAAATAGAAATTCCAAACTTACCAAAAGGTGTGACTAAAATACTTTTATCACTGTTCAATAAAACAGGTTACAAGAAAATATAAATTGAAACGTTAACTGAAAGAACAGTTCTTTCTTACAGCATAAATAGCATAGCCAACTGTTAAACAATCCTGTCCCATCTTTCGCTTGGATCTGTGATATTTTTGCATAAGTCCAACTATCATAGTACAAAGATCATCATCGTCATCATCATCAACATCCTCAAGAGTTATTCGGTATTGAGGGTTCATCCAAAACGTGTCTACAAATCGAGTAATAATTTCATGCTAAGATAAAATATTTAATGAGATAGAAAAAGCAGAATACACTGAAGGTATGTATGTTTTAACAGGTCAAGTGATATCCAAAAAAGTGCACCGAGAAAGCTAGTTCAGTCCTTTTATATCAATGTACCGATTGGACCATGAAGTTGTTCTTTTTCTAAGCTAACCTTCTGAATGATTATTATTTATGATAGCTCAAATTGTTATCAAGAATATCAATAATAACTTCACAGATTTTTTTTTGGTCAAGTATTTTTAACTTGCTTACAAAGTATTTTTATTCCCAGACCATATGGGCAGATTTTTGTTAAGGGATTTTCACACTTAATCCAATGATATATATGGTTTTTAGGACCTTTTTCAATAACGTACATAATAAATCAATTAAATATACAATTTTTGATATTCCACCAAATTTCCCAATTTTCTCTGGTCCCTAGAAATACAAAATGCATTGTTGCAAAAGGATTAAAGTTTTAGCACTTTGAAAAAGTCAGTCAGTACAAATTCTAAGATACTAGGGACAATATTATATGTTCAAAGGCTTACATAATATCCATGCACATGCATAGGTACTGAAGATTTTACACCAACTAACCCAGGTAGTTTCTACAACCTCCTGCAGTACATCCTGGAATCCAACTGCTTTCAAAAACATGCATGTCCCACTTCTTTTTTGATACCTTTGTGAGAGGCTCATCATCTAGGGAATCAGGATTAAGATTACAGATTTCTAGTCTGTTGAAGTTCATTAGAAAGTCTTTGAATGACATCCTGAAAAAAAACAACAATAAAAGTGTGGTAGGTAGAGTCATTAAAAACAAAATTACTTTACTAGCAACTGCTAGGGGTTAACCCTTTAGCTCAGTTGGTAGAGCACTTGTCTGGCATGTGTAAGAGGTTTCAGATTTGAATCTGAGCTTAGGATATAAAAAAAGAAACTAAATTATCACAAGAAAAAGTGGTACCAAATGTAGAGCCATCCCAAGACACTGAGATAAGGTGCAAAGACAGGCCTTGTTGATGAGAGGGGAAGAATGCAATAGGTTGAGTTGTTATTAAAAAGGTACATTACTAGGAAGTACTAGGGGATTAACACTTTAGTTCAGTTGAGAGACCACTTGTCTGGTGTGCAAGAGGTCGGAGGATAAACATTTTAAGAAGAAACTGAAGCAGGAATTGTTAATCTAACTGGACAGCTTCAAACACTGATGTCGTGAAAGAATTCAAAAGTAGATGCATAAACAAAATTAAACAAACTTTACTACTCACCAGAATTCTCCATCATGTTCAAATATCAGCCCTAATTCTTTTCTTTCATTTTCACTGACCAATGTCCATTCGGGAGACCTGAAAGATTAGTATAGAAGTATACTTTAACGGATAATTAAAATTGTAAAACGTGAATGCAATTTCCTTTTTTGCTGTAATTAAATAAAGAATCTTTATTTTCCCAATAAGTTTCCGGACGTACATCGCTAAAATGCGAGGTTCGATTCTCTGTGGTGGATAAAGCGCAGATAGCCCATTGAGCAGATTGAGTAAAAAAATACGAATACAAACACAAAAAGCCTTTATCTTATTTATATAAACAACCAGTAACACATTTATATAAGAAAATATATTTTGTCGCATAAATTTGAAACACATTAATGTAATATTAAATACATACAAATTTCCTAATTTGAAAAATATAAGAAATCAATCGTTTAGATATAGTACGATAGTTTGACTTTAAGTTGTTAATAATGTGTCTTAACACTACTACTACTAGTACCAGCATAACTCAGACCGGTATTGTATTAAAGTGGTAGAACATTCGTTTATATTATATTACCAGTACGAATGGTCTCGTAAGCAGTTGGTTCTTTTTGAAACATTATGAATAGTTTATTTCCTATACAATTTCAATAGTAAAGCAACAAATTATTAGAAAAACTATTGAACTTAAAAATTAAAACAGACAAAATATAACAGTACCTGTCACTCCAGGCTCCTTTCCACTCACACTCATTACCCCAGGGATTACGGATCCTTATCAGGGGGATTTTTCCTGTTATCCGCGGAGTATTAACTTCAACCTAATAGCACAATCAATCAAGACAAGTCAGTTGATGTTAGAAATATAAGTGGAGTTTATTCGAACTAAAAAGTAATGTCCAAAGTAGTGATAACAAACTAACATGCGCTTTTTGTTCATGATCATTAGGGGAGCTTGTATCGTCGAATAGCTTTGAAGCGATACTAATACAGCGACATTCTTGCTATATGTCTGCTTTTAATTTTTCTGCTGCTTGGCATGGCCTAGTGGTTAAAACTCTCCGTTTGCAATCTGCGGTTCGCCAGTTAAATTCCTGCCACCCAGCATGTTTGCCCTTCTTCCACGGGGGCATTATAATGTCACGCCGTTCCCACTTTTCATTTGTAAAAATGTAGCTCAAGAGTTAGCAGTCGGTGATGTTGACTAGCTGCTTTCCCTCTAATCTGTTACTTCTAAACTAGGGACCGTTAGTGCGGGCAACCTTCGAGTAGGTTTGCGCGAAATTCAACAAACAAAATTTCTCTGCATGTATTAGGCTAACGCTGTCAGTACAAGTTATAAATGTATTTGCACTTTTCTTGACAATCAAGTGCAATAATTGTAGACTGAAAGTGTAGTGTTTAATTTTAAGGCTAGTAGCCCTCTTCCTGTGGGTCAACGGTAAGTCTACAGACTTGCATAAAACACTGAAGTCAGGAGTTTGGTTCCTCCCGATGGACAGAGCGCTCATAGTCTATTATAACCAAGCCTAGGAATTCCTACAGGCTGTTGAAAAATTCCTCTCCTGGAAGGTTACTTAACTGTTGATTCAAACCACCACTAACATCTTTGATTTGTATATTCCTTAACGCTATTGTGTGATGTTTTTAATGTTTCAAGACCTCTGTGTTTCATTATTTCACCAGTTTGAAACAAAATCATCGAAAATGCACCTCTCAGTGGCTCAGTGGTATGTCTGAAAGGTTGTGTCGCTAAAAACCAGGTTTCGATACCCATGGTGGGAACAGCCCAGATAGCCCACTGTGTTGCTTTGTGCTAAACAATAACATAATAATAGAAAATGATCAAAGTTAAAACTGTTGGTTATGAAACTTCAGAATTACATAGTCGTTCTTTCTGCGAGAAAGTCGATAACAAATTATTCCAAGTCTGTCCAATGAAGATATTGATGTAAAATAGTATTTAGAAATTAAAAAATTAAACACCTAAAAACAGATTTTAAAAATAACACTTAGCAACAATACCACATTTCAATTAAACAATAATACCTGACTACAGTGAACAGGCACCATGGGAGGCATATCAGGCTCAATTTGAAATAATTTCCAAAGTGAACGAACGGAATAATGAAAAACAAACTGTTCATCTTGCTGCCCATTCAAAAAGACAATTTTAACGTCATTAAGTAACCTGCAGCTGAGAGTATAACAACTATCAAGCATTGATAACTGCCTTATTTAAAAGGTTCCCAAGTGACACACACCAGAAGGAAGGAGACTTTAGCCGAAATTGCATAAAGTTTGGAAAGGCATGCCAAATTATCTTACCCAGATGCTCCGTGTGAAATGATGGATTCATTGGCACTTGACCAATTAGATGCCATAACAGATGAGGATATGAGAATTAGACTGAGTCAAAGTAGGTATAAATATTTAAAGAAAGTTCTGCAGTTGGCGGTGGAACTAGAATCCATTAAAGTCGCAGATAAACAACTAAAGACAACATCTAGAAGTTACAGTTTCGTCAGATTGAATAGTATTGAAACATCAACTCCCTCTGATGATAGTCTGGAGGAACTAAAAGGATTAGTTAGACAAATTATTACATAGAAAGGAGGAGATAAACCACAAGACAATTGATGTTGTAAGTATAACTTAAAAGAACATACAACCAGGAACTATAGACAAAAGCATGTAGAGAATAAGAATTCTTCCCAAAGGATACCAAAAAAGGGGAACTGTTGCAGTTTTGAGAAACCTGGTCATTACAACCAATACTTTAAGGAATTATCAGCTAAACTACATCAAAGGAACAGCAAAGAGCTAAGCAGACGTAAAAAAAGACAGGAACTAGCAAGATTTAATGGGGTGAAGTTCAATGGGAAAATACTACATCTATCCCAAATGAAATAAGAATGTTATTGAAGAAAATCATTCCTGAGTCCGTGGGTTTACTGATGGAAAACCTTGCAGTATGCTGATTGTCACTAATTCTACAGCTACAATTAGTTAACCTAATGTGTTAACTAAATGTGGGAAATTGCCTCCAGAGATGAATAAAGAAGATGGATTGATGTGGACAGCAGGTGAGCATAATGTTCCAGCAAAAGTTACCCCTACTGTAGGAAGTTTCTCTGTATGTCATGTTGGGAATTGACATTGAGAAAGAGTTCATATTGAGAGCCGACTTCATGCAGAAACATGGATGTGAGGTTAGAATAGCTCCAAATAATCTCGAATTATATATAACTAGAAATTCCTAAATACTACATGATCTTCCAGAGACAATAGGCAGGGTAGTTACTGTATCAAGAAGAAGTGAAGTACTCATAACAGGAATTATTAGCAAAAAATTACATTTAGTGGCTGGAGTATGTAGTGGAACCAAACGTTCCAGCATGTCTTGAGGAATTGATGGTTAGAATAGCTCTTGATGATCTGAAGAATAAAGATATTATATATGACCTTACTTAAGAAAGACTTTAATCAAATTGTGATAAAAGGAAAAGTCGCTACAATATTAACGCTGCTGAGACTAGATTTCATCAAGGTGACACAATATGGCTGTACAATCACACACACATGAAAGGATGAACTCCAAAGTTAAGCAATTAATTGGAAGGGTCATATATTGTACTGAAAAGAATCAATGATGTGGTTTACAGAAATCAGGTGATCGAAGATAAAATTCATCTATCATGATTGTCTTTGTAAGTACATCAGTGAGAGAACAGTCAACTGGGTAGCTCCAGAGAAGAAGTTGGCAATGAAAAGTTAATCTGCTGAATAACTCGGGGTTCTTGTCGAGCCCATTTTTAGAAGATAATCAAAGATATAACCACAAGTGGATTTACTCAACCTCCTACCTAGGAAGTGCTCTCCCAGCAACAGGATAGCCAGTGAAAATAAGGACAAAAGGTCATCTCATTCTGCAGATCTCAGGCCTCGGAAAAGAAAACCAATAAGAAGACTTGGTGAATCGGCAGCTTAGTGTGCTGTTTGTTTATTACTTTTTGTATTAGGATTGTTCAAGGGACTTCACAATCTAGGAAGAGGCAATGTTGTAAGATATATTTTTATTGCTATAATTTATATGTTTGCTATAAGGCTTTGCTTGCTTGCTTGGAAATTAAGCACAAAGCTACACAATAAGCAATCTGCCCACCACGAGTATCGAAACTCAGTTTCTAGCATTGTAAATCCGCAGACATACCGCTGTGCCACTGGGGGGGGGGGCAGCTAGACAGCATATGAGGTTAAGATCAAGTAAGTTTCCAAAAGTAGCCCTAGAATGTTTATGATCGCGAGACTTTGCAAGACATCTAGAAACAAGGGTACAATATAAATACAAGAATCATTGAAGTATTGATTTAGTTTTAATTTCGTTCAATGATTCAGAAATTAGTGAATTATTCAGATCAATGTTAGTTATCATGTATATTCAGTTACTCTTTCCATAAGCCATTTTGGTTTTCACTTCATTCAGTGATGGAGAAATTAGTTTAGTATTCAAATCAGTGTTAGCTATCGCGTAGGTTCGGTTACTTGATCGAATATCCGTGAAATTGTACAACTTACAAGTATTTTTGTTTTAAATAATGACAATAATATACTTGTTCTGTGACAGAGTTTTAAATAAGCTGTAGTTCAGTATCGTTTACTGGAGAGGTAGGATGATAGGAGTTATATCTGTAAAAGGAGGAAAGAGCGATGGTTTTTTAGTTTGGTTCTTAGAAGATCGTGAGTTGTATTTTCTTTCAGCATAGCGAACAATGGAAAGGAAGTAAGGGTTCTGTAAGCCTTTTCACAATTATAAATATAACTAGCATAGTTTAATTTGAAAGCTGGAAAGCTAAAATTAAGGCTTTTGATTAGAGCTTGTTTACAAACATCATCAAGTTAAAGTTCACTCAGAATAAATATTACATTATCAGGATTAAAACCTGAAGAAGAAGGTGAATAAAGTCGCAGTTTTAAAGTCTTCTGTTTGCTAGTTTGAAACGGAGACATATTTAATTATATAACTAGGTCATGGGTATCTTTCAGATTCCAGAACAAACTGAACTCTGAAACCATAACCCTTGTACGTAAAAAAATAAAAAATTTACTCCTACGGGCATTTTTATGTCTGGGATTGTGTAACCCAAGTAAGCTTGTTCATAAACTGTTGCTTGTTTGTCTGTTTGTTTGCATGAGGCGATATTATTATTTTCCGACATTGACTGTTAAGCGTTGAAATAAGGCCTACACAATATTAAAGATTCTCAAAATTAGAACAGTTCACAGCTGATGATAAATATATGTCTATAGCGTGTTATTAATATTCTTTATACAAGACTGTTTTATCGCCCTGGCATTTGCACAAATACAATAGCTTACCGTAACAATAATAATTAGGTAGCGGTACTCGTTTCAAGTTCTGACGCTATCAATAAACTCAGCATGACTTTGGGAAGTTTTACTAATCATGAAAACAAGCTGTAATCCAATAAGTCGAATTTAAAATAAAACTATATTTATTTAAGCGACATGTAATGGCTTACGATCACTGATCTATGCTCACGACGATCTGGCTCTTGCACGACAGCTTATGGCCTGTACTGTGTCCTCCATGTGGTGATTATTATCGTAGCTGCAGTAATAAAATGTTGTTTTTCTCCGTATGGTTGTCAGTATAATGTTTCATGCTATTCACATAAATTACTACGTCAGATATATAAATATATATATTTAAAAAAGAAATAAAAACTTCTGAAAATCATTGTATTACAACTCACAAATAATGTTGTAACGTTGTTCTTTCATTGGCGGGTTCTTTGAAATTAGCTGAAGGAAAATAATTCAATGTAACGGTAATAAATTTGTTTATTTTCTCCTTTAACGTTTTTTTTTAACTGGATTACTTGAACGTAAATACCACACTAACTTTTACAATAACGTAAAAATATACTTCCTTTACACTTTCACGGATGATTGATAAGGTGGTTGAAAACAAAACGCTAGCTGAGAAAACACTGACTGATTCACTGTATCGAGTAGAAACAAGTTGGTCCGGCATGGCCAGGTGGTTAAGGCACTCGACTCGCAATCTGAGGATCGCGGGTTCGAATCCCTATCACACCAAACATGCTCGCCCTTTCAGCCGTGGGGGCGGTCAATCCCACTATTCGTTGGTAAAAGAGTAGCCCAAGAGTGATGACTAGCTGCCTTCCCTCTAGTCTTACACTGCTAAATTAGGGACGGCTAGCGCAGATAGCCCTCGTGTAGCTTTGCGCGAAATTCAAAAACAAACAAGAAACAAGTTTTCTCTATTCTTCATTGAACCCCGTATTTATAATAGACTTATAGAATTTAGTATGAAATTTAATACCAAAATTTTCAGAACTTTCTACGCCTAAATTATTAAACTTTGCGACCTCTTGCTAACATTTATATTACAACGTATATAAATATAGCTTACAACAATAACTTAACCATTAAATAAAGCTAAATCGTTATAAGATATTGTGCCATATCGGCTAGCTGTAAAATTGCACACACAATTTTCACCCTAAAATTACTCGTAAATTTAAAAACACCCATTGGAAGGTAAATACAGTTTGTGTCATAAAGTTAAATATGAGATAAAAGCACACATACATACAAAGAAGAAGTCATGTGGATAACGAAGAGGAAATGTAAATTAAATTTCATGTTTATGCTAAACAAAATGAAGTAGCTGAACCGATAAGAAAATGTTTAGGTTCGAATATATATATATATATTTTGTAAATAAATTGTACATTTTGGTGATGTTTAACTTCCAGCTTATAATAGTGTTAGAATAAGCGCTTAAGCCTGAATTAGAGAAGTATTTCATAATTAAAATATGTTGGGATCTTTCTTACTTCTTGATATAGAATAGTTTTCCATAGAATAAAAATTCAAGATTATTATTAAATTTCATGCATTGAATGTACCAAATTCAAACAGTAGAAATATCGACCACATCTCTACTGTAAAATGGGCTGCTTTGGACAAGAATTAACGCGACTGCTTTTCCATTTCTGCCAAGTTTCTTGACTCTACTGCTACACCTCCTCACTTCCAATCCACTTCCTCTGTCTTACAACAATTGTCTTGAAGAATGAACGCTACTGAAAATCGTCGTAGAGGTTTTGTTCATTTTTAGCAAATTTCTGCGTGTTTCACGTTTTCAAGAGAGAAAAAAAAAGATGGAGAAGTATAGTCTCCTTGAAATAACCTGCAAAACTTTTAAGGTAAGACATTTAAAGTACATTACAAGAGCTTCAAAAAGAAAACCCATTACGGACTGAGAGTTCACTTTTACTTGTAGACTTTCACTGGATCTGTCAGGCTTTCATCAAGGCCAAATCTGGATATGCAATTTGCCGCTCAAAAATTTAGTCAAATAGCACATCTATTTAATTACTATATACATCTTTCGAGATTATGCACACAGGTCACTAAAGAACTTTTAACATTGTAGAAACAATACTGTCATACTGGGATTATCGGTTTGTACAAAACGTTTATTAAGCTGCTGGTAATCGGTTTATTTCGAAACATTGTTTTAACATCAAAGTAACGAAGTGTACTAATCCAATGTCAAATCATCGAAGTATGTAAATTATCGCTAAATATTACCGGCCCCCCAGTGAAACAGCGATATGTCTGCGGACTTACAACGAATATTACCGAATACCGAAAATTTAAAAAAGTATCACTTACCATTCGCACTGCAGTGATGCTGTAAGCGTGGCCTTTGATTAACCCATTGTCTTGTTCCATCTCTGTTACGTCATTGTCCGGCTGCAAGACGAATAGGACAGGTGCATATATATATATATATTTGTGAAAGTATAACATATACAAATAAATACACTATAAATATTTTATATTGAAGCTATGTGCAGGTCTTTTTTTTTTTTCAAATTTCAAATTATATTAAGCTAAAATCTCCATTACGTTGATGAGGCACATATTCCATTCGTACTTAATTCGATAACGAATCAAAGAAAGTAGACTGCAATAATTGCCACTAACTCTAACGGTTTCAATTTTGAAAAGTTTTCTTTTCTTAAAAGTTTATCAACTATTTTGTTTATTCGGGAAGAAAAGTCGAGGGCTAGTAAAAAAAAACCGGCAACAATGTACTACAAGGTTTCGTCATTTGTAGTGCGAACCCGAAAAGTAGGCCTATTGTTTAAACAAACACATAATTATATTCGTGATTTTTTATTACACAATGATTAATTTCAGTGTGTGCAATAGCATGTATACGCGTTCTAGAAAACCGTAGCTAAATGTGGCATCCATCTAGTGAGTAGAATACAGTGTTTACCTCTATAGCACATCCCATCAAAGACCATCTTTCATAACCTTTTAACATGATCTTAAACAGGTTATCCGGTGCTTTCTGGATCTCGTAGAACTCTGTTACACCTCCGGTAAAGTCCTCCATAGCCTCGCACGTTGTCCCTCCTTTCAGTGCTTCATACGATCCATGTAATCTTCAACAAACAAAAAGCACTGTGGAAAGTAATACAACTAACATACCATGCTATAATGCCTAATACTGTCTTTAACGAATACGATTATAGACAGACGCATTATTGGGTGATAATCTTTTTATTATTATTTATGGTACGACACAATTGGGATTAATTCTATAAACCTAATGCCTTCTTTTTGCTCTTTAGGGGGCAGGTTTGACATTCCAATTTTTTGTAGAACCTTCTACGCAACTCTTATCAACATGGGCGTCCGCTGGAATTATTTTAGGAGAGGCAAAGTTTTCCGGGGTGGGGGAAGTATGTGAAATTGTGAATTGAATAAAACATTCATATATACATGCTGAATGAATAAAGAAAGAATTATGTTTCTCATTTTCCGGGGTGTCCCCCCCCCCCGCGGACACCCATGCTTATCAAGGCTACGATTAAAAAAAACTAAAGAAGGAATGTTTGTTATCAAAGTATAACACACTACCGGTATTTTAAACGATTGTACACAATTTATGAATAACATACCAAGCAGACAGGGACTGAAGATTTTCTTCTGAAACTGAACTTTATAGCCGAAAATTGTATGTTAAATATAAGGTACTACGTTATCGAACGAAATATACTGCGTGCTCTCTGAAGTGGTCTCGCCTTCTTATGTTGTCATGCAAGAATTTTCATTCCCATGGTATTATGTATAGACTGACCATATAAGAAGAAGCCAACTCCCTATACTTAAAACCATAATTAAATTGCATTTATGAATTCTAGCAATCATTTTCAACAGTTTCATTGAACGACATTCGGAAAGCCTGATACCAATCTCTTTCTAAAGACTGCTCATAAAATGTGGGTAGACCTGAGACCAATTTCTTTCTAAAGACTGCTCATACAATGTGGGTAGACCTGAGACCAATCTCTTTCTAAAGACTGCTCATAAAATGTGGGTAGACCTGAGACCAATTTCTTTCTAAAGACTGCTCATACAATGTGGGTAGACCTGAGACCAATCTGTTTCTAAAAACTGCTCATACAATGTGGGTAGACCTGAGACCAATCTGTTTCTAAAAACTTCTCATAAAATGTGGGTAGACCTGAGACCAATTTCTTTCTAAAGACTGCTCATACAATGTGGGTAGACCTGAGACCAATTTCTTTCT